TGCATTTTATTTGCCTATATATATATAGGGGAGCGATCAAATGAAAACCACTCAATTTGTAGAAAACCGTAAAAACCTCATTACACCTATCATAATTTGTCATTTTGTTTATTTTTTTGTAATTATGAGAGGTTAATTAATCATTTTTTATTGTGGATAATGTTAATCATGAATATTATTATCTTACTTATTTTAATTTTAGAGAAATACATGAAATAATTTCATTAAAATTTCATTAAGTAGTATATGCATGAAACAATTTCATAAGCATATATGAAACAACTTCATTAAAAAAAGTACTATATGAAACAATTTCACAAGATTAAACAATTTCATGAAACAATTTCACAAGATTAACTATATATGAGAGTAGTTTTTACGGTTTTTACAAATTGAAATGATTTTCATTTGATTGCTCCTCTCTCTCTCTCTCTCTATATATATATATATATATATATATATATATAATAGATTTATCAAAAGTCTTAAAAACAATTTTTAATGCACCAAGCACTATACATTTATGCACAAAGTCTTAAAAATACTCGTAATGCATTAAGTACTACTATTTTATACATCCAGTCTTAAAATTTCTTAATCTACAATTAAAATAACACATAGTACAAGTTACCAATGCACATTATTACATTTTCTTTTCATGTTTCCAAGATATTTTTGACTCACTCATGTTTTCACCCTCTTATGCCTCTATATCTTCTCCCCATCCCCCAATGTGAGATTCAAACTGATATTCCCATGAGTCATTAAAAGTTCTCTAATTCATCTCTTATTCAATTGCTCTAGAACTCTCGGTCTCGGTCTCGATCTCTTGATTTTTTGATCTTGGTGTAAATCGAATACATTTGTGGAGTCGTTTAAAAATGTTGAATTTTAAATATATTGGATTTTAAACTGTCATACAATTTTTTTTCCATCAATAGACTGTAATTGGAACCATAACTAGATCTTATTTATTCAAATTGTATTAATATGTAAAGACCAAGTGTAACATATATCATCGTTAAATCTTCTCAAATAAAACAACCGAACTTTAAAAAAAATTAATTTAAGATTGATATCAATATTTTTTTCAAAATTTTATAATATTTTTAAATTTATATTTTATTTAAAAATAAAAATGCAAGATTACAAGTAAATTATGCAAAAGTACAACTTATTAAAGCTTGATGTTTGAATTTGTATAACTAATTGCGGATAAACATAATCAAATAGATGATAAACATCTTATTTTAAAATATAAAAAATCTAAAATATAATTAGGATAATTATCGAGTTCTAACAAAATAATTAATTATTATCTTTATAAAAAAATTATATTATTAAACGAAATATAAATTACTTCGTTATTGTACCTAAATTAAATTATAAAAAAATTGAATTGAAAAATCACACAAAAAATGATGAATTTTAAATAGTTAATTTGATACTAATATCGATATATTTTTGTCAGACTTTTATGATATATTCAAACTTATATTTTATTCAATAATAAAAACATCATCGCTTTCTCAAAATCACATAAGACCATATTATAACATCGACTGAGATAAAAAATAAAATAAAATATTAAAATCAAGATGTATCTCGCTGCATTGCGCGAGTACCATTCTAGTTATGATTAATACATTTATCAATCAAATTTTGATATTTAAGTAATGAAAATTTTGATTTGTAAAAATAAAATAAAAAATTCATTGCGATAAATACACACGAACACATAAAAAAAAAAAAGCTGTACGGAGTTGGTGAGAAAACTTAAATGAGATTCATCTGTTATGCCCACAAAAACAAAAATATACACGAATCTTGAAATTTATTCCTATAATTATTATATCGTTTACGTATATGAACCATGTGAAAAGAAGTACGTCAATCAAATAAAGGGCTCTAATCATCTCACGAGGGCGTAGTCCCTTTGATACGTACATACGCGTCCCGTGCTCTTCAAAAATATTAACATTTTTTATTTCAGGTTATTCTGGAAAATCAAATTTTCCTCTTTAAAGATATATTTACAAATATATATATATATACATATATATATATATAATTATTACAAAATATTTAATAATTAATAATTATTACAAAATACTGATAAAATAGATAATCAACATTCTTGATTTTATGACATATTTCATGTATTTTATCATTAGAGAAAAAAATTAAATTGGATTCATATTTTCATAAATTAAAATTAGAATATATTTTTTAATTATTTTTCTGCAATTTTATTAATTCTTGAGGGTTTCTTGAATTGTATCATGTTGGTGTGTGGAAGTGATTAATGACAATTAGTTTATTTATTAATTTTGTGGTAAAAAAAAACTACAAATTTGGTTTTTTAAATGGATAATCATTTTTCAATGGAGACATCAAATTATATCAGATGTATGTAAAACATTGAATTCGATGCAACACTGTTTACATTATATTTGAAGTTTCAAAGTTATGATCATCGTCAACTAACTAATCATACACGAGCCCTTCCTAGGACGGATTCCTCCTTTTGCTCCTCAGCCTACACAAGGTATTAGCGCTGTTTCCAGCTGTTGTTCCCCTCTCAAGGGCAGGTTCTTACGCGTTACTCACTTGTTTTCCGAAATATATTTTGTCGATAACCTCCGATCAGTAAGCAGAACCATCTGATTTGATTGTTCTCAATCTGAAATAGGATAACAATACATACTTATTGGTTAAATTTGGTCCGTTAAATTGTAGATTGATGTATTGCTAATCAAATATGTAATTTGATAATTTTGAAACTAATAACATGTTTGAATAAAACACACAAATATATACATATATATATATATATATATGTATGTATGCATGCATGCATGTATACATATACATAACCAAGTGAATAATAAAATAATTTAATTATCAAGTTAATGTAAAAAAATATGTGGGTATAATTTTGTGATGTTAATAAATATAAAAAAATAATTATTGAAAATATGATTGATCATATTTAACAAGAAAACTATGAGAATATTCTATTTATGTTTACACCACATTAATTTGGAGATTGTCTATAATTATGAATTTCGGTGTAGGGTTTTTTCAAATTCGATCTTTTCTATACCAAATTAACTGATCAATGTTAAAAAAACATTTATGTCGTATCTGTTATTTTGAACAAAAATCCCGTTAGAGTCGTTTTGGTGCATTGAATAACTTCAATTCCTATCGTGGGCCTTATTCCATCTTCGTAAAGCAAACTTTTGTTCGGTTACAACGCGTGGTCAAAACCATACACGACTTAATCGGTTACTTATTATTATTATTATTATTATATGTTATCATCATTGACAAGAATAATATTTTAGTCACCAAGAATAACAAACACCCCATGATTACATCCCTTTTGTTTGGATTTTACTAGCAAAAAAGAGAGAAGTGTATTAGATTGGGTGAGTTTAGGTTGCACTTTTTTACTTTTTTGTTATACTTCACCCATAATAGAGTAGAGAGTAAGAGTACTAGCAAATGGCCAATCTATCAACACCAAGGTACCTCTCTAATTAGCTATTCTTAGGTCTATGTTGGGTTCTTTTTGACTATTTTTCACTCCCCCTACTCCCATAGACTCCCTCTACTTTCATTATTTTATACACTTGCCTCTTTCCCTTTTATCCTCTCTCTCTTCTTCTCTCTCTCTCTCTCCCTCTCTCTCTCTCTCTCCCACTCTCTCTCCATCATCCAAATCCCAAAGAAAGAAAGAAAGAAAGGGTTTTTAGCCTATCTCTATCTCTCTCTCTCTCTCCCACTCTCACACACACACACTCTCTCTCTCTCTCTTCTCTCTCTCCCTCATCATCCAAATCCCAAAGAAAGAAAGAAAGAAAGGGTTTTTAGCCTATCTCGTAAGTTCCTTTTCTTTCATCATCGTATATAAAGTGCATAAATTGGTCATGTACCTTTTGGGATCTCTTTCTTCTTTGGTACTTGTAAAATTTCTTGTTTTGGTTTAAGAATCGATAAGGGTGTTTTTAAGGTTTTTTTGTTGTTTGGTGTTGGTGTGGTGGATCTTGATATACATCACATAATTAAAGATTTGTCCTCTTTTTTTTTCTTTTTTTTTTACTTGAATGGCAAATAGAGGAAAAGATTCAAAAGGCATTTAAGAGCAACATCATGATGATGATGATTTTTTTTCACTTGATGGCTTCTTTCTTTACTTCAAGAACTTGATTAGGGTTTTGTTTTTTGCTTTGTTTGATGGATCTCTTGCCCTTGTTTATCATAAAGACTTTGTTTATTTTCAGCTGGTTTTAATTGGGCAAAGGAAAAAAAAAGATTCTTCCATCTCACTTTGAAGTCTGGTTGGATTCCATTCAAGCTACACACACACACACACATATATATATATATATATACATATATATATATATATATATATGTATATGTACAAACTTGATGAATTGATAAGCTTCTTGTGGTTCTTGTTCATCTAGCTAGCTATGTGATGGATCTTGATAACTGTTTCATTTCTTTCGATTTGAAAACAGTAGTCCTTCAAGATGCTTATAAATCACTGTTTGTACACTGTTCAAAGCTACAAATCTCGATAAATATCCATCACATGTTCATCTGAATTACCAAATCAAAAGAGGGGGGGGGGGGGGGGGGGAAGATTCACATCACACTGATTTCACCACAAGATTTTATCATCTTAAAGTAAATTAAGTCGGATACCCATCTCAAAAATCTTGAAGATTTTCGTCTGTTTGGGTGAATCTTGATCACATCAAGATTCCATTTTTATTCAATTTTGGGTTCGACCCACAACTTATAAAGACATCAATTACAATTCAAGTTTGATGAGTTCCATCTCTTTCTCTTTGCTTATACCTACATACATACATACATACATATATATGTATGTATATATATATATACAGCTAGCAAATTAAAGGGTTGTTGATATTTTTAGGGTTTTGAATTAATTAATTACAGTTTGTTTGGTAGGTTTAAAAATGGTGAGAGGGAAGACTCAGATGAGGAGGATTGAAAATGCTACAAGCAGACAAGTGACCTTCTCCAAGAGAAGAAATGGTTTATTGAAGAAAGCTTTTGAGCTTTCTGTACTTTGTGATGCTGAAATTGCCCTCATCATTTTCTCCCCAAGAAGCAAACTCTATGAATTTGCAAGCTCAAGGTTTCATTTTTCTTTTTTTATTTAATTTATGCCCCCTTTTTTCCTTCTGATTTTTATATATATATTTAATATAAGAAATTAATTATCCCATGCATACCCTAACTAGAATGTATATATAGACCTCTATATATATGTATGTATGCAAGTCATGAGTTGCAATTCTACATACATGTGTCGATCGATATACGGCAAAAGTTAATCCAATAAAACACCGGTTTGCGGTCTACGGTTTCTATTTTTACGTGTATATATATATATATATATATGTATGTATATATCATATGTAGCTTTAGTTTACATTTGTATCTCTCTCACACACACACACATATATATATATATATATGTGTGTATATATATATATATATATGTATATATATATATATATATATATATACACACACACACATACACACATACATATATATATATATATATAATGTATAATTGATGGATGTCTAGAAATTTGATAAACACATAATGGTTCTAATTTAGTTAGGTCTATTGATTAAAATATCTAACAAACCTTTTTAAATTAAGAATTAATATGAATATTTTTATTTCTTGAAAATTAGTAGAATTAAATATATATTATAGAATTATATATATAATATAAAGATTATAAATATAATAAAATTCATAAATTTAAATGGGTGGAAATTAATATATGTAGTAAGAAACGATCATAATCCATGAAATTAGGGATCTAAATCAACAAAATTGTCCCGTTAGAACACTCACAACCGTTATAACAAAGTATTTAACAAGAACAACAATATTACGTCTTATACAAAAATGTTACAGTAAGTTGTTAGAATAAAATTGGGCGACGTGATCTATCTGTTGCTACATGGTAATACTACATTCATCCCTATATAATTCGGAGTCTTGGATTTACATGGTTCGACTAAACCGAGCACAACTTTTAACAGAAATGACTCGATGACATGAAACCAGTCAATTTCATATCAGTTATAAATTCCATTGTTTAAATTACTTATTAAATAACAAATTCATCTAGTGCAAAATGAATTGAGAAAAAACACTCTTAAAGTAGCAATGCAAAGATTAATATACCTACATTTTTATTTTTATTGTATATAAAAGTTGATTTAATTCCAAATTTAATTACATTTTTAAAAATTTTGATTGTCTGTTAAGGTTTTTTTTAATCATTTTGCTAATCAATGACAGTCTTTCGACCCATATAGATAGAGGCAACACAGATACGTCTTACCTTTCAGATTCTACCAATTATTTAATTTCATACAGTTTTTGCTCGGTTCAAATTGATATTGCAGTTGGATTGTTACAGATTAGGCTTCGAATGATAGGATAATCGTGTAGAAGAAAAAAGAATACTAACATAAGTACTATCGTAATTAAGACAAGAAATCTGAAAGAAGCATTTTATGTAGTGTGTGCATATATACACACATATATGTACATATCTATACATATATATATATATATATATACATCATATAAATTGGTTATATACAATACATATATATATATATATATATATACATATTAAGGAAGTTAAGAGAAAATGACATCAATTAAAAACCATAAATTTATCAAAGGAATTGTCATATATAGGTACCAAACTATTTGGTACAAGTGTTTTATATCACCATCCACATTAACTTCAAAATAGAAATATTACTTGCATACAAGGGACCAAAGTAGAGGGTTTATAGAGCATAAATTGTGTTTGCTAATTAATGTGTACATGCATAAACGTCAAAATATACATACATATATAGGGGTGGGTTCAAATAAAAACCACTCAATTTGTAAAAACCATGAAAACTTCACTCAACCAATCATGATTTTTCATTTTGTTCATTTTTTTTGTAATTATGAGAGGTTGATTAACCATTTTTATTGTGGAGGGTGTTAATCATGGATATTATCATCTTCATTATTTTAATTTTAGAGAAATACATGAAACTGTTTCATTAAAATTTCATTAAATGGTATATGAAATAATTTCATAACCATATATGAAACAACTTCATCAAAAAAAGTATTATATGAAACAATTTCACAAGATTAACAATTTCATAAAAAAATTTCATAAGATTAACGATGGATGAGAGTAGTTTTTACGGTTTTTACGAAATGGAGTGGTTTTCATTTGAACGCTCCCCTACATACATACATATATATATATATATACATATACATATATATACATATACATATATATATATATATATATACACACACACACATATGTAGATAAAGTTTACTTTGCAAGCCACGTTATTTATATAAACCGTACAAATCTCATTCAACTAATCATAATTTTCATTTTGTTCATTTTTTTTGTAATAATGAGAGGTTGATTAATCATTTTTATTGTGGAAGGTGCTAATCATGGATATTATCATTTTCATTATTTTAATTTTAGAGAAATACATGAAACAGTTTCATAAAAAAAAGTATTATATGAAAAAAATTCATGAAAAAATTTCATAAGATTAAACAATAAAATCGACGGATGAGGATGGTTTGTACAAATCGGGTGGTTTGCATTTGATCGCTCACACACACACACACACACACACACACACACACACACACATATATATATATATATATATAAGATCACGTAAGACCAACCTGTTTTAGTGATACTATTTTTATACACTTGAAAGCTCACAGCAAAACGCTATGAAAGTAGTCAACTTTCACAAGATTTTTGCTTTGAAGGTTCGGTTTTTTTCACCTTCACACCATTTTTGCTGAGATGTTTCGACTTTTTTTACCTTCACAACGTTTTGCTGTGAAATTTCAAGTGTAAAAAAATGGTCTCACGAGTCTCACGAAAACAGGCTCGTCTCACGTGTGAACCTAACCCTATATATATAACATATATAATAATTCCATCTTGTCTTCATATGAAAAATTAAGAGAATCGTGATTAACTGCATGCATTTTTTTTGGATTGTGAATGTGATGATCAGCATGAAGGAGACCATCGAGCGTTATAGGAGTCATGTAAAAGAGATTCGAACTCAGAATTCTCCATGTCCAGAAGATGTCCAGGTTAATTTGATATCTTTCTCAACAAGATCTTCATTAATTTCTTCTTCAATCTTTACTCAAGATATATATATATATACACACACACACATACACACATACATATATATATATATATATATTGAAGACCATGATGCATGTCTTCTGATCCAGCCCACTCTTATTTATTGAAGAACTTATCTTGATTTAATTTGATGATGAGTTATTCATCTTCTAATCTCATGTTCTTTGGGTACCAAGAATCTTGATTTCAAACATGAGTTGCTCATCTTTTAATCTCATGTTGTTTTGGGTTTGATTCAATGGCAGCATTTGAGACAGTTAGCAACAGGTATGGCAAAGCAGATAGAGCTCTTAGAAGTTACAAAAAGGTGCAGTTTTTTTCATCACATGCAATTATATATTTAATGAATTCTATAAAAAAATGTTGGAGAAAGTCAAAATAGGTTTCATATATTCTAACATGGGCATCGGAGTCTAGCATCACTAAGAGACTCAATTACACGCTCTCTCGCCTCCATTCTTGAGGGCACCGTCTAGCCTCCGTTTGAGGGGGACGTGTTGTAGTCCCACATGTAGGAATCTCCCATCTTCCTATAAGATCTCTTTTAGAGGAAGAATCAACAGGGTTTCACATAATATTCTAACAAAATCTATATCTATATATATATATATATATATGTGTGTGTGTGTGTGCGCGCGTGTGCGCGTGCACGTGCACGTGCGCATATACATGTGTATGGTGAAACCTTGTATGTTTATTGATACATATACACTATCAAATATGAATTCCGTCAATGAATACATTAATTAATACAAGTATATATCCACTGAGGCAAAAACTCATTGAAATTCATTAGTGTATATACATCAATGTATATACAAATTCTCACGGTTCTCACATAAACCGGCACATATGTGTGTGTGTATATATATATGTGTGTGTGTACGTAGGAACATCTCGTCTCTCTAGAAGGATTTTTTAAGAGAGAGATCCAAAGGGGTTTATTGTATCCTAACATGGTATCCGAACCAATGCCACCTAGGAACTCAACACACTGTTTCACCTTCGTTCTTGGAGCCATCGTCTATGTCTCGCCTCCGTTTGAATTTTAGGAGGTGGATTCAAAAGGTTTCCACGTATCCTAACAAACTGGTTTTTTTTTTTTTTGATTAACCTGGATATCCGACCCGCTATGCGAGCTGACTAATCCCAGGGCGACCATCTGCTTTGCAGATAGCCCGAAGTCACCGCATTTGAACCTCCGTGGCCACAAAGGGATTTTTGTTCCTTCTTGGATTTGAACCTGATACCTCTTGGTATTTTTGACCTTTGGAGTTAAGCTCAAACCAATCAGGCACCACCCTTGTGGTTAACTGGTTTTTTATGTCACTTCGAAAAGAAAAATATACCATAATCTTTTTACATTTATAATACAGGAAACTTCTGGGAGAAGGTCTGGGATCAACCACCATTGAAGAACTACTACACATTGAACAACAGTTGGAGAGGAGTGTATGCATTATTAGGGCAAGAAAGGTTGGTTTTTGTTTGAGGAAAAACCAACTGTTTGACTTTGACTTTGACCTTGACCTTGACCTACATTTTGACAATCTTGATTCTTGTTTCTAGATGTTTTTGGGGTTCTTTTTGTATTTTATTTAACCCTTTTTTTGGTGTGTATTTTGATGTTGTAGATGCAAGTTTACTATGAACAGATTCAGCAATTACATGCAAAGGTAAGGCTCATACAAATCAATAGTCTTGATTTTTGGTGTAATTCTTGATATTTTTCTTGAAAAAAGATGAATATATTTGTATCAATTTTATATCTAAAAGTAGTTCGGTTGAATTCAACGTTTATAAATCCGTTAAGTAAAGATTTCAATCGTTACTGACGTTGTTTTCTTTATTTGGAAACATATAGGAGCAAACGCTCGCATCTGAAAACGCAACATTAAACGAGAAGGTAAGTTTCCTTTCGTTGTGTTTACCCTTTTTCTATATCGGATTCACGGTAACAAGTATTGAATCACTCGTGGTTTTACTCCAAACGTCATAAATTCACACTACAGTAAAAGGGTCATTTACAACGGCGTAAAAAGTAGTGTCATTTTGTAAACGAACGTAATCATGGTTGTTTCTTGTGTATTAGTATCAACTTCAATCGATAGAAGGGTCGAAAGAAAGGGGGGCGAATTTTGTGGTGACGGAAAACGAAGACACGATATCAGACGTGGAAACAGATTTGTTCATTGGGCAAGCGAAGTGGAAAACCAAAAAAGATCGACCGAAATAGCGGAAATGCGAGATGAAGCTATATTTGTTAACATATAAGGTATCTGAAACGACAAAATAATGTCTAAGGAAGAATGCTTCCCATATATAGCACACAAAGCCATTATTGGGACTTACAAAGGTTTGTATATAGGGATGACTCTTTCATAAGTACTGTTAATCGAGTCTGATATCTTATATGCTATATTCATGTTCATAATCATAATATACATACATATATATATATATGTATGTATGTGTGTATGTATGTATATATATGTGTGTATATATGTATGTATGTAGAGAGAGAGGACAATGTGAGAAGTTAAATATGTTGCAAAAAGGATCGAAGTCTCAATATCATATATAATTATGCTCCTTTGGGTGTGGGTGTGTTTAATCATATATGATTAAGAGTCTATATTTTGTCAATGCAACATGTGTTTAATCATATACGATTAAGTTTGTAGATCATGTTGTAATCATATATGATATTAAGACTTCTCGTCTTCTCATAAAATGTTTAGCTTCTTGTTTGAAGCTACCCCTATATATATATATATATACACACACACACACACACGCTTATATGACAAATGTAACCGTTCTAATGGAGTATTCAATGAGACTTTTAAGAAGCTGTTATGACAAGGTATGATAAGATAATGTTGGTGATTTTAGTCAAGTAATCGGTCTATTTTATGTAATTAGACTTAACAAGAACGATATGGAGTTGTTAGTTAAGCTATAACACAAGTTAGGATGTGCGGAACATACACTCGGGTAAGTTAATTAGAACGAGATCATTTGATGACGCCGTATGGCGGGATCCTAGGGGCAACGCCCCTAGAGGGGTCCAAGGGCATCGTTTGTAACCACATATAAATGATAGACACCAACGATATTTGTGCTATGTGATGAACAATGAGTATTTATCATTGTTTGAACACTGATAAAAATTGCATCTGAAGGGTTAGCCCTTTGCTAAGTATATGTTGTTGAGCAACCAAGTGATGTGTTACAGCTGATGGGTCATCCACTAATCGGGTATCGGTTGATATGTTACCACTAACAGGTCATCATCCGCTGGTTCAAACCGATGGATTATCAGCCGAAGTCGGCTGATTGACGTTTTATTTAGGTCGGTGTTTGGGATTGCTTATTCGAAACAACTTATGTTTTTTTTTACAAAAGCACTTATCAAGTTATTACAAGTCAGAAGGGTTTAACTTCTTCAAAAACTCTTTATTACCGATTTGGTATTGATATAAGTTGTTTATCCAAACACTCAAAAGTGCTTATTACCGGTGTTATACAAGAATAAGTCAATAAGTTGTTTTTATAAGCAATCGTAAACACCCCTTTAGTTGTATAACTTCTCTGACGTAATCTCACTTACTCTTAGAACTTGAAAAGACAATTTTTTTTTTTGAAGTATATAATATTTATATACGACAAATATAACAAATAAACTCACACACACTCATCAACTTTGGTGAGGTTTGAACCCTTAACCTCCTAGAAAGCCAAAGACTAACATACCGCTAGACCAAAGACCTTTTGAAAAGTCAATCTTCTTATTGACCTTTTGAGCAACTTATAGGTTTCGTCCCTATGTAAGGCTGACAATGGATAAGGGTAAACCCATTACTGGTTATGTTTCGGCGCGTTGAGTTAAGATATGGGTAAAGAAAATCTTATCCATTTATCCACTTATTCATTACCCGTTTACACGAAATTTAAGCGGGTAGGGCATGGATAAACGGCTTTTCGCTATCCATTACCCTTTACCCATTACTATATATATGTGCGTGTATGTGTGTGTGCACGCGCGCGTGCAATATGAATGTCAATGTCCCCTTTTCCTCCCCTCTGTTGTTGGATATTTAGAGTCAGTTGGATCAAATGGAGGCGGAGGAGATGAAAAAGAATTAGGGATTGGCGATTTCCGACAAGTCTTTCCTAATTTTTATGCATGTGTGTGTGTGCACGCATTAATATATATATATTTACAGATAATAGGTTTACGAGATAGATAATTACCAGTTTCGTTACCTCTATTTTAATTGGATTGGATAACGGAAAAACCCTTACCCACACATACTCTACCCGTTGTCAGCCTACCTTATGATTATCGTTTTGTTATGGATTTGGTCCGTTGAGGAAGGAAAAAGCACTTTAGGAATTTGGGGATTTCATGCCCAATTTATCATGTTCGATAGAACCTTTCGCGCCAATACCATACCATAATCAAAAGGTATAACCCCCCCCCCCCGCGCGCAATGTGCGATTCCCGATAATTAAGCATGCATTAGGAGCTCGTTGGTTCAACGATAAGTTACTACACGAGGAAGTCAAGTGAAGGCGCCTACTTGCTTGTGCCCCTTTCTTTCGTTGGCGCTTGCCTGGATCCCGAAGTTGCATCCCTACTCACCTGGTCCATGCACATGATCGCTCTCTCCATGAGGTCGGAAAATCCAAGAATTCCATTTTCCTCGGGTTCAACGGAGGGTGATCGAGGGGACCCAGAGATCTTCGTTGGAGCTGTTTTGTAGTAGTCGTGACCAACAGCCAGAGAGAGGTCGTGATAAGAGTTTCCGAGTGAGGCGAGGGGCTTGTTACGAGAAAGTTCAGAAGTAACAAGAATCCTGTTGACTTCTAATGTAGAAATTCAATTTATACTTCTGTTTCTCAGCGGGTTCGAAATTAAAGTATTAATGGAACTTTTTTTCCGAAACAGAAATGATATAAAATGGTAAGATACGGTTTTTGTTTTTTAAAAAGAAGATAGTGAAAGAATCAAAATACCACCAACTTAACCGTATTTAGGTTAAAGGGAGTTAAGTTAAGACACGCAGTCCGTAAAAAAAGTGAAACCACAGTGACGATAGCTGTAATTGTTTCGATCTGAAGACCTAGTCAAAATTTTCATTTAACTACAGGGATGAAATCTGTAATTTACTCTAACCTTTTTATAAGATATTTATCTTGAATATTATCATATAAAGCATAATAAATCACAAGTTCCATTGTAGTGTGGATTTTAATCTCCATTCTGATAATGCACTCTTAAAAAAAACCATAAGGGTGGTGTTTAATTGGTTTGAGCTTGGACTCCAAAAGTCAAAAGTATCAAGTTCAAATCCAATAAGGACTAAAAATCATCTAGTGGCCACAGAGGTTCAAATGCGGTGACTCTAGACTACTCACAAAGCAGGTGGTCGTCATGGGATTAATTAATCAACTCACATAGCGGGTTAGATATTCAGATTAATAAAAAAAAACACTATTTTTTCTCATCCAACATATTTTTATAAAAGGAGACTTTTGAGATTTCACTGGTTTTTATTTGTTTTCGTAAAGATTGAGGTGTGAGTTGTCTTCCTTTTGAACAAACTGATAAATATCTCGTTTTATAAAATGGAAGAGTTACCTTTTCAATTAAGAGATCGAAACGTATTTCGAGTTGGAATGTGTGGAAAGGAAAGACGTGGAAAATTTCGAGTTTTGAACATCTCGTTCTAAGCGAGTGTGGGAATTTTCAGTGTAATTCAAAATTTGAACAGTCAGATGTTTGGTTCTTGAAAACCCCTTAATCGAGCAAAACGGTCATGTGTTTTATAAAATGCTTTAGTTTCCCTAACGATATGCTAAGAAAACGAGCCGTATTTTTGCAATGTAGATAACTAAACCTATCGTAATAGAAAAACAGTTTGGGATATACTAAGTTATATCGGTTATTATCTAATAAGGAGATAAGTCTTAATACAATTAAGATCATCTTAATGGATGATAAACATTAAAGTGTTTAGGTGTTTGATCCTCTCGGTGGGTTCAAATAAAAACCACTCAATTTGTAAAAACTGTGAAAACCTCATTCAACCAATCATAATTTTTCATTTTGTTCATTTTTTTGTAATTATGAGAAGTTGATTAACCATTTTTATTGTGGAGGGTGTTAATCATGGATATTATCATCTTCATTATTTTAATTTTAGAGAAATACATGAAACAGTTTCATTAAAATTTCATTAAGTAGTATATGAAACAATTTCATAATCACATATGTAACAACTTCATCAAAAAAAAAAAATTATATGAAACAATTTCACAAGATTAACAATTTCATGAAAAAATTTCATAAGATTAACGATGAATGAGAGTAGTTTTTACGGTTTTTACAAATTTTTACAAATTGGAGTGGTTTTCATTTGATCGCTCCTCTATATATATATATATATATATATAAAGGATTAAATTCCAACAATTCGATCGAACCTAAAAACATCACAACTCATAACAGAGGTGAAAGGCAGAAGAGAGAAACCAACTCCAACTTAGGGTTTCATACATCATCCTACTATATGGTACGCATAATAACGCAATGACTTCATCAGGTATGTATATGTTTCCCTATGCGTGTTTCTGATAGCATATATGGCAGTAGCATCTAAATGTGTAAATGTCGTAGCAGGGGCAGATATTGGGGCACAGACTCCTTTCTTCTGTATTTTTCGAGAAAAGGGAAAGCTCTCCGTTCCTGGTTCTCTATAGCTGGATCCTTATCGATCTCAAGTCATTTCAATATGAACGACAATTTAACAGGAAATCGAACCCGCATCGTTAGCTTGGAATATCTGGTTTTCGAAAATCTTGAGAATACAGTTATTTATGATTTATAATTGGTATCAGAGCCATGTTCAAATTTCATAATAATCTTGTAAAGAAATTAAAGCTGCTTCACTACAAACAATCCGCATTAATAAAAATTAATCAAATTAATTATTAGGTGTTTTGATTCTTGTGTTGGTTTTTGTACAAAAAAATCAAATCTTGGGCCGTATGCATGAATTTGGGCTAATTGTATTTGGAAGCCAAATGGGCCCGGTCTGGGACCGAATTAGGACTAGCCTGGAACCGATTTGGACCGGTTTGGGATCGTTAAGAACCGGTTATGGTTTTCATCAAAACACAAGGTCCGGCTTGGCCCGACCCTGAACCAGTTTGGGACCGGTTATAGGC